TGTGGTCACCTCCGGGGCAGGCGGGAATCGAACTCATGCGGAAGCAGCTTTAGATTCTCAGTGCTGTGCTTTAACCCGCTGCGCCACCAGGGAGGGCCATCTCTCCCTCTTTTTGTGATGTTGATAGTAATGTTCTCTTTCATTCCCAGTTTTAGTAATTTGATAGTAATGGCCTTTTTTATTCCTAAATTTAGCAATTTGAGTATTTCTAGTGCTGGCATTTACTAATCAAATAACTTTTTTAGTGAGATTTTTCTTAAAAGAAGTGAAATTTACATAACATAAAATTAGCCATTCTAGAAAAGCACAGTTCACTGGAATTTTGAATATTCTTATTACACATGAACTGCCTTTATCAGGTCAAAACATTGTTATCCACCAAGTAAAATCTTATACTCACTAAATAATTACATTCGATTACATTCAATTCACTCAATAATTAGGTCCCTAGAAAATACCAGTCTGCTTTCTGTTTGTAAATATTTACCAAACCTGCAGGGCCTATCAATGGAATTAATACAGTTTATGATTCTGTGTGTGGCTTATTTTACTTAGCATAATGCTTTTAAGATTTATCCATGGTATATGTATTAGGTTGTTGTATCATACTCCATTGTATGTATGTGTCACTTTTATTTACTTAGTCATCTGTGGCTGACCATACAAGTTCTTCCCGACTTTGTTTTTTGCTTGATAAAAATGCAGTGAACATTCATGTGCAAGGTTTGGTTGAACACCAGTTCTTTTGGTATGTACCTAGGAGTAGAATTGCTGAGTCACATGGCAGTTCTATTTTTTTTTTTTTTAAAGATTTTATTTATTCACACAGAACTGGGGTAAAGGCCAGAGATGTGGAGGGTGAGAGGATTCACCAGAGACAGAGCAAGGAGCAGAACAGGCAGATCCACGAAGTACACTGCTGAGGGGAGCAGCGGGCGGGTCAGGAGAGGTCTGCCGCGCCTTGTGGTCACCTCCGGGGCAGGCGGGGATCGAACTCATGTGGAAGTGGCTCCAGCTTCCCAGTGCTATGCTTTAACCCGCTGCGCCACCAGGGAGGGCCCTATTTTTAACTTTTTGCAGAACCACCCAACTGTTTTCTACATAGCTATGTAATTTTACACTGCACCCAGCAATATCCAGAACTCTTAATTTTTCCACATTTTTCCTTAACACTTGTTATTTTCTGGCTTTAATTTTTGAAATTAGAGCCATTCTTGTGGGTTAGAAGTGTGGCTTCTCATTGTGGTTATGATTTGCATTTCCCAAATGATCAGTGATACTCAATGTCTTTTCATATGGATATTGGTCATTTGTTTAAATTAACCGTTTCCATTTTTAAAAAATATTTATTTATGCATACAGAACTGGGGTACAGGCCAGAGGTGCGGGGGCAATAGAGGCTTCACCAGAGACAGAGTGGGGAACAGAACAGGCCAACTGATGAAGTACACTGCTAAGGGGAGCAGCGGGCGGGTCAGGAGAGGTCTGCCGCGCCATGTGGTCACCTCTGGGGCAGGCAGGGATCGAACTCATGCTAAGTGGCTTTAGCTTCTTAATGCTGTGCTTTAACCCGCTGTGCCACCAGAGAGGGCCCAACTGTTTCCATTTTTAATGAAAGGTTATTGTTTTTGTTGTGAGTTACAGGAATATATATTATAGATACCAGACTCAGTAGATTTGAAAATATTTTTTTCTCTGTACTTTGTCTTTACTTTCTTAACTCTGTTCTTTTATGTACAAAGTTTTTCAGTTTTGATGATGTTTAATTTCAGTTTTCTGAAATTTAGGTTTATGATGCATATTAAGTTTTGTGGAAAAAATGAGTGCAACTTAGTTCATTCGTCATGGATAGTGAGGTGGCCAAGGAGTATAAAAATCACCATCTACACTAGTGCCTTAACCATATGTTAGGCAGATCAGAACATTTGACCACAGAACTTTCAGAAGAAGTCTCATGTCTTAGCCCATTCAGGCTGCAATAACAAAATACCACAGAAAGCATTATAAACAGGAGTAATTTATTTCTCATAGTTCTGAAGGCTGGAAGTCCATGATCAGGGTCCCTGCATAGTTGGGTTCAGTGAAAAAACTTTCCTACATCCTGGATTGCTCTAACTTCTTGATGAGCCCTTAGATGGTAGTGAGGTTAGGGATAATCTCTAGTCTCTTTTTTCAGATCACTAATATCACTGAAGAGTCCTCTGTCTTTATTTCCTCCCAAAGATACCAAATAATATTATCTACCTATATATACTTTAATGATTTATGTATTTATGCATATAGAACTGGGATACAAGCAAAAGGTGTGGGGTGGTGAGAGGATTCATCAGAGACAGAGTGGGGAGTAGAACAGGCAGATCGATGAAGTACACTGCTGAGGGGAGCAGTGGGAGAGACAGGAGAGGTCTGCCACGCCATGTGGATCACCTCCCTCTTGACGCTGTGGTAGCTGAGGCGGCTGTAGCTCCTTTGCAGTGTTGTGCTTTAACTCATTATACCACCAGAGAGGGCCCAACATTATATATTATGATTTTGACAAATGAATTTTGGCCAATGTGGAAATAACAGCTTGTTTAATTCCCTGATTCCACCACACCCCATAAGGAATGGACTTCTGCACTGAGAGTTGGGGAATGTTAGGCAATTAAGTAGAAATGCTAAAGTGCTTTCTTTCTTTGTAAAGTCTAGCTTTTTTTTTTTTTTCCATTAAGCACTTTGTTGGGTGATTAAGGTTTTTAAAATTAAATCCCAGGCTTGTAAAAAAGGTTAATTCTGACATTTTTGCTGGCTAGTCTGTTTACTTTACGACCAGGAATGTCTTTGAGTTTCTTTTTCAGTGACAATACTCTTAATTTTTTTTTGTTAAAAATTGGGTTAACATTAATTTAGAAGAATGTTTAGGTTACATTTGTACTATTTCTTACCTCAGCAGCTGTATGTATAACAGCACACATATCAATAGATGTCAGTTATCATCTACCATTAACCAGGGGTACTGCTGCCTCCTTTACTTCCCTTCACCATTAACTTTTTTTTAAGGCGTTACTGTTTTACAGCAGTTTGGGCTTACAGTAACATTAGACATTCTCCATATACATCCTGGCAGTACACATATACAACTTCTATTGTTGTCAAAACTAACCAGAATTCTACATTTTTTATTTTAAACCTAGGGTGAAACTACACTGATCATAACCACACTATATCCATAGTTTATGCGGGGATTCACTCTGGGTATTTTACATTCTGTGGGTTTGGATAAATACATTATGACATCTGCCCATTATGACTTAGGTATTATCAGAATATTTTCACTGCTCTAAAATCCTCTGTTCTGCCTATTCACTTCCCATTCTACCCTCCCAAACACAATAATACCTTTTTATTGTGTGCATAGTTTTACCTTTCTCCAGAATGTCATGTGGTTAGAATCCTTCACAAGAGTTCCTAAGTTTTTCCTTATCCTTTAAATGGAACAGGATGGCTTGAATGGGCTGGATAGAGTTAGGTATTTCCCTTTTCTCTTATGGAGTGGTAAACCTGACTGGAGTTGGGGTTTTTGATTTCATAGATCGCTTGGTTCTGATAATACTTGTATTAGGTTACGTTTTGGTTGCCTTCTTTCGCCAGAGGACAGGCCTTGTTAAGAAGAACTGAATGAGGGCCTATCTGGTGGTGCAGGGGTTGAAGACAGTGCTGTTAAGCTATTGCCAGCCACTGCAGCACAAGACCCCTGGCCATCAGGGAGCTGACCCATATGGCACAGTAGACCTCTCCTGTCATGCCCACTGCTTCCCTCAACAGTGTATTTCAGTACATCTACCTGTTCTGCTTCCCACACTATCTCTGGTGAATACTCTCATCCCTGGCACTTCTGGCCTGTACCGTAGTTTTTTTTTTTTTTTTTTTATAAGTTTATTTTTACATCATTTTGTACATTTTTTTTTTCATCTCAATTGTAATCCCCGCGGGTTTCCCGTCACCAAGTCATCCGTGTCCCACCACCATAATCCCATGCACTTTCCTCCCCACCCCCCCATTTTTGATTCCATTCCCCACTCCATCCCCACAAAATGTCTCTGCTACATGGCTGTTCATTATTCTTGTTATTTTCTCTCCTGGTCCATTATACTCCTGCTGTGAGTGAAACCATCCAGTATTTTTCTTTCTCTTTCTAGCTTATCTCACTAAGCATGATCTTTTCCAGCTCCATCCAAGTTGCTGCAAAAGACATGTGTTTCTCTTTTTTGGTTGCTGAATATTCCATTGTATATATGTACCACATCTTTTTAATCCAGTCATCTACTTTGGGCATTTGGGCTGCTTCCATGTTTTTCCAATTGTAAATAAAGCAGCAATAAACATGGGGGTGCAGGTAACTTTTTCAATCGGTGTCTTTGTGTCTTTTGGGTAGATACCTAGGAGTATACAGAACTGGGGTACAGGCCAGCTTTAACCCACTGTGCCACCAAGGAGGGCCCTGTGCCACATCTTTTTAATCCAGTCATCTACTTTGGGCATTTGGGCTGCTTCCATGTTTTTCCAATTGTAAATAAAGCAGCAATAAACATGGGGGTGCAGGTAACTTTTTCAATCGGTGTCTTTGTGTCTTTTGGGTAGATACCTAGGAGTGGGATTGCTGGGTCGTAGGGAAGTTCCATGTTAAAAAGTTTGAGGAACCTCCAAACAGCTGTACCCTAGTTTTTGAATGCATAAATTAATCTTAAAAAAAGAACAGAATAAGTGCTCTATTACACTTTTAAATGAGTCCCTTTTTCTCTTGTCTGATGGAAGAGGGGATTTTTCTTACTGTGAGAATCTGGTCAAATTCTTGAGGGTATAGCTCTAAATATTGTGGGGACTCCTCTGTTGCTGACTCTGCTTGAGGTTTTGACTGTTTAATTTTCTACACTGAGTCCCCGTCCATTCATCATTACAGTCCAGTTTTCCAACTCTAACCCTGGTATCCTTATCCTTTCCTTTTGTGAGTCTGCTTTGGTCAGTTATGATTCCTTGCATTCACTTGTCTGTCTTTTCAGTTTTGGGGGCAATTGGTTGCTCAATGCTAGGAATAGTTGTTGATTTTTTCAGCCTATTAAGATTTTCATTTATTGTGCATATGGAATGATGACTTTCAGGCTCCATTGTTGCAGAATGAAAATCCCTAATCTACTATAGCTTTTCTATTTATAAGTCAACATATTTATAGGGCTCCTTGAGAAATAATCTGTCAATTCAGATTGACTAGTTGTATATTTTAATTTATGTGAATGGAATGTAGTAATAGGAAATGCAAAGTAAAATTATTTTCACTAAGTTTTATTATTTTCAATTAAAAAACTTTAAAATTGCTTTGATTGCTAATTGTTGACTTCTTTCTTACAGATTTGAAACTAAAATAGATTCATTTTATGTTACTGGCTTACCAGACCGTTCAAAAAAACCCCGCCTCCTGTCTTCACTAGATGATGCTACATCACTCTTCCAAATTATATTTGAAATAAATCCATTAGATGAAGTTGTTTCTCAAAGGTGTATCATAGAAGCTGAACCTTTAGAAATGATATATGATGCAGTAAGCTTATTTTTGATTTCTACGTTTTAATATAGTTCAGTTTGCTTTTAAGTTTGTGTTCTCACGTTGATGATACTTATTTTAACAGAAAACAGTCAATAGTATAGTGGAATTCTTCAGACCCCCAAAAGACGTACATCTAATACAGCTCACCTCAGCAACTTTGACAAAACTTGAAGAATTTCGTGATAAAACAGCAACAGGTAAATGGTGGTGTTATTTTAGTGAATTAAGTGGTATACCTTATACTAAAATTTTAGTTATGTTAAACTGATTATAGTAAATTATACTTTATAGATTACATGTGTAGATTATAGACAGCTTCACTGATAGTTTTATATTTAAATTCAGATTAATACTTAGATATATGTATATATGTGTTTTTTTTTAACTCAGAAAGGTGTAACCCATTAAGTTAATTGCAAAATTTCATTAGGTGTTTAACAGTCTACTCATGACAGAACCTCACCTGTCGTTTTCCTTTCTTGTTAACAAGTTCAAGATTTTAATCCATTGCTCTCAGAAGACAAAGTGCCTTTTTTATTCTTTTGGATAATTTATGTATAATATAATCAACTTATTTCTTTAATATTTTGCATAATTTAACAGTAAAGCCATTTTTTGGCACAAAGTTTTAATTAGATTCCATTTTTAAATTATATAGACAAATAGAAGGATAGTATATATAATTTTAGTGGTTTGTGATAATCTCATGAGACTTGCTTTCTGACTGATAATATGGTAATAGAAAATATTTCACAAACATTTTCCAAATATTTGGAAAGCAAGTATTTTTAATATCTATAATTGTATGTTAGGTCACATTTACCATATATATCACATCTTAGTGAACACAGATGAGAAATACACGATGATCAATACTTCAGTGTAGATGTAGCTTTGTCCTATTTTTTTTTTTTAAAGATTTATTTATTTGTGCATTCAGAACTGGGGTACAGGCCAGAGGTTCAGGGGCAGTGAGAGGCTTCACCAGAGACAGAGTGGGGAGCAGATCGACGAAGTACACTACTAAGGGGAGCTGCGGGCGGGCCAGGAGAGGTCTGCCGGGTCATGTGATCTCCTCTGGGGCAGGTGGGAATCGAACTCATGCGGAAGTGGCCTCAGCTTCTTAGTGCAGTGCTTTAACCCGCTGCGCCACCAGGGAGGGCCTGTCCTATTTTTTTTTAATGTCATTTTATTTCCTGTGAACCAAGTCTTTGATTTGTTTGAAGTTGGCTTTCTGTATTTTTTTTTGTAAGATTTACTTATTTGTGCATACAGAACTGGGGTACGGGCCAGAGGCTCAGGGACTGTGAGAGGCTTCACCAGAGACAGAGTGGGGAGCAGAACAGGCAGATCCACGAAGTACACTGCTAAGGGGAGCAGCGGGTGGTTCAGGAGAGGTCTGCCTCTCCATGTGGTCACCTCTGGGGCAGGCTGGAATCAAACTCATGCGGAAGTGGCTTTAGCTTCTTAGTGCTGTGTTTTAACCCACTGAGCCACCAGGGAGGGCCGGCATTCTGTATTTTTACTAATGCTTTAATTTGTTAGGCATTCATAGTACTTAAAAAGAAGCCTGTGATCTGATGTTAATAAGGATATTATAGTTTTCTTTTGATTATAATTTCATTCATTTGCATACTACTTCTTTTTTTTGCCCTTACTTTTGCCCGGTATTTTTATTTTTTAGGTTTTCATACCAACAGCATACTGGGTTTTTTCTATCTATATTTGCAATTTTTTCCTTTTGTTTCTGGCCTTCCTTGTATAAACTCAGCCATTATTTTCTTCACTTCCCCCATCTCACAGTCTGACATTTGAAAGTTAAACATTTCTTTCTTTACTTTGGTAAATTACAGCATCCATTTTTGTCAACATATAAACTCAATGAAAAAAATCTTAACCTTCTACCAGCAATTTGTAACACTTAAATGCCATTTCCCATCCTCCTGATTTATACCAATAATTGTTGTTTTTGTTTTCCTTTTTTTAACTTCCTAAGATTTTTTTGTGTGTTGTCAACACTGCTTAGACTTGCCTCCTTATTAGCTACTTGCATAACTTTTTATTCCTGTTTGCACCTCAAACTTTTTATCTGAGATTATTTCCTTTCTATTGGAAGTTCATTACAAAGGTTTTCTTTAGTGAAAGTGTGCTGATGGTAAACATTTTGTTTTGATCTGAAACATTTTTTTTTGTTCTAGCTTTGAAAAATACTTTAAATACAGAATTAAAGTCTGGCAGTTATTTTCCCACAGTACACGCAGTAAACACTCTGTCTTCTGGCTTTCACTGTTGATGTTGAGAATTTAGGTGTCAGCAGGCTTGCTGCTCTTTTGGTAATTTACTTGTCCTTTTTCTTTTACACTTACATTTATATCTTTATATTCTATAATTTCAGTATAATATACCCCACTGTGGACTTTTGGATTCATGTGTGTGTGTCATAAATCTGAAGATTGGCAGATTTAATGAGTTCTAGAAAACGCCATCTGTAAAACTGGCAGAGAAAGATCTCTTTGAGAAAGTAGTGTTAATACTTTTCCAGTTACATTAATGAAGAAGATTTAATAGTAGAAATTTTAATTTGTTATAATAATACCAAATATTGATAAAGATATCTATTAAATTCATAAATTAGGAAAAAATTATATGGAGTTTAATATTGTTGCTACGAATAGATGCTTCACACCACTTGTTTAAGGTCTGTATCGCTGTAATTTTACCCAAGTTGAATTTATAGGTTAAAAATATTTATTTAAAGAATCATACCAGTTCTTTTAATTAATTTCATTAGGAGTGTACACATTTACTAGCAAACATTTTGAATTAATATTGGAAAATTTTACTCAAGGTCATTTTTAAATTAATACAAATTTAATGTTATTTTAAGATTGGCTATCACTGGGTTGTGGGTTGTGAAAACTATTCACTGTGAAATTTGACTTTTATGCAGGTCTACTGTATATTATTGAAACACAAAAGGTTCTTGATCTCAAGATTAATTTGAAGGCTTCATATGTTATTATCCCACAAGATGGAATTTTTAGCCCTGCATCAAACCTCCTTCTTTTGGATCTTGGTCATCTAAAGGTATATACTACTACTTATTTTATAACATGAAATATAGTTGTTTCTTTTTAATTTTTTTTTGTTTTTTAGACAGTTAGATTTAGTGTATTGATTTTTTTTTTTTACTGTAGATTATAGGATTTGAGAAATCTTTCTGGTGAATAAAGTAGAATTGCATTTAATTGTTTTTCCTATATTCTAAGAACAAACTTAAGTTCTGTAGGACAGAAGTGCCTAACTGTCCTATGTATATAATTAGAGGGTAATGCTGGAGGACCTTATTTCTTTTGAAAATTAGATTTATTACTCAATAAGTCATATAAAATGAGAGAGTTCTGGAAGTAATCTGATACATATATTTTCATCCTTATGAAGTTGTTTAGATACTGATATTTAGTATTTACCTAACATCTAGTATGTTAGGTAATCCTAATTTATGAAGTCTTTATGAATTATCTAAGATATTTTTTATCCCATCATATACATTTTTATTCCTCAGTTTTGAGGATAGGGTTTTTTTTTTTAAGATCTGTACTATATTTCTAGATCAATATGGTTGGTGAACTTGTGATTATTTAAACTAAGTAGAATTAAAAATTCAGTTCGTTTGTCATATTATACATAGAGTGTTTAATAATTATGAGTGGTTTGTGGCTACTGTACTGTACAGCTCAGAGAAGGAACAATCCCTCTACTGCAGAAAGTTCTGTTGAATAGCACTATTAGGTCATTAAGTTTAGAGGAATAGTAACTATAACAGTTTGAAGATACAGGAAAGGATGGATAATATTAGAATATTTTTTGACAACTATATGTCTTCTCTTGATACTAACATCATCCTTTTTTTTTTTAACTGTTCAGTTAGTAATTATGTAGACAGCTGCTGATTTTACAGCTTATAAAATAAAGTTCATACAGCTAATTATTTTTACTGATTTGGTTGTGGAGTTGTTTCAAGGGCAGTGTGGTATAGTGAAAAGAGCATAAGGTCAGGAATAAGGGTTTGTTCATGACTTAGGAGGTTTGCTTAGTCTTTTGCCTAAAATTCACTATCTTTCAAACAGCCAATTTTTTCCTTTATAAAATAGAATAAAATGTTTAAGTGTGTATGTATATGCATTTGCATGTGTGAATGAATAAAATCTTTATTGTTGTGAAATTATTTTTGGGATATTTAAAGTGGAAAAAGTAGTGGACATAGCATGCCAGGAAAGAGGAAATACACTTGCTTAGGATTACCTAATTGCAGTGTTAGGATTCCAAGTCAGTTACCTTAATATTTAATCTTAATATTTAATATTTAATATTTAATCTCTTCTCAGTATAGTTATCCAAATATGTCCTAAACTCAAAATTATTTTGAGCTATATTTATCTCTGTTTTTACGAAAATCCAAGATTTAAAAATATTCTTCTTTAAAAAGATTTATTTATTTATTTATGCATACAGAACTGGGGTACAGACCAGAGGTGCAGGATTGGTGAGAGAATTCACCAGAGACAGAGTGGGGAGCAGGACAGGCTGACTGACCAGATACACTGCTGAGGGGAGCTGTGGGCAGGTCAGGAGAGGTCTCCAGCGCCATGTGGATCATCTCCAGGGTGGGGATCGAATTCATGTTGAAGTGGCTTTAGCTTCTTAGTGCTGTGCTTTAACCTGCTGCGCTGCCAGGGAGAGCCCACAATATTAAAAAAATTTTATGTGGTGGGCCCTCCCTGGTGGTGCCACCAGTTAAAGCATAGCACTATGAAACTGCAGCACAAGTTCAATCCCCAGCAGGGAGGTGACCCTCATGGTGAGGCAGACCTCTTCTGGCCCATCCATTGCTCCCCTCAGCAGTATATTTCAGTAAATCTGCCTATTCTGCTCCCCAATCTGTCTCTCTGTGAACCCTCTCACTCCCCATACCTCTAGCCTATACTCCATTTCTATATGCATAAATAAATAAAAATAAATTATGTGAATTATTCTCCAGGAATGACTTTACTCCTGTCTTTTTTTTTTTTTTTAAAGATTTATTTATTCATACAGAACTGGGGTACAGGCCAGAGGCTCAGGGACGGTGAGAGGCTTCACCAGAGACAGAGTGGGGAGCAGAACAGGCAGATTGACGAAGTACACTGCTGAGGGGAGCAGTGGGCGGGTCAGGAGAGGTCTGGCTCGCCATGTGGTCTCCTCCGGGGCAGGCGGCAGGCGGGAATCGAACTCATGCGGAAGTGGCTTCAGATTCTCAGTGCTGTGCTTTAACCCGCTGCGCCACCAGGGAGGGCCACTCCTGTCTTTTAATGTAAGTAATTGGGAAATATAGCTTAATACGTAAAAATTTAATATGGTTGGCCTTATTCATGTCATAGGTAAGAATATTCATGATAAACAATTATAGTGTATTTAAGTTGTGAATTTATCCTTTCCTACTAAATTTTTATATTAGAGTTTGAATGATAAAAACTCTTCATTTTGAAATACTTGCATTCTCAAATTATTAAAATCAACTTCAAGGTGACGAGTAAAAGTCGTTCAGAATTACCAGATGTGAAGCAAGGTGCCAAACTTGAAGAGATAATGCATATAGCTTATGATTCTTTTGATGTTCAGCTTACAAGCATACAGCTGCTTTATAGCAGAGTTGGTAAGTATATTATGAAACATTGATTGATTGACTTTGCTGAAGTCATTAATTAGGTTTAAGTATTTTGTTTGAAGAGTTTTATCCTAAGTATGTTAGAAATTTTGTATTTTTTGAGTTAGAGGTGATAGTACATACTTACTAAGAGCATTATAAGCTAGGCTAGTAGTAATGTTTGCCTCTCTAAAGACATTTGGTAGTGTCTTTAGATGTGTTTGTTGTCTAAAATGGAGAGTTGGGGGCATTACTGACACTGGTAATGAACTTTAGGAGTGCTGCTAAGCCACATACAGTGTAGAGGAAGCTGCATCACCCAAAGATTACTTGACCCAAATGTCAGTGGTACAGAGATTTGAGAAATTAAAATCTAGGACAATGTTTTCCAATCTTTGAAAAGCATTGATACATATTTTAAAGGATTTTTAAAAAAAGATTTATTTATTTATTCATACAGAACTGGGTACAGGCCAGAGATGCGGAGGGTGAGAGGATTCACCAGGAACAGACTGGGGAGATGGACGAAGTACTCTGCTGAGGGGAGCAGTAGGCGGGTCAGGAGAGGTCTATGAGGCCATGTGGATCTCCTCTGGGGCAGGCGGGAATTGGCTTAAGCTTCTTAGTGCACTGCTTTAACCCTCTGTGCCACCAGGGAGGGCCCTATTTTAAAGGATTTTAAAGCCTTGATATATATACTACAGAGTGGGACGAAGACAACAGAAAAAGAAATTTACATGTGTACAGACTAATAACTTTGGATTGATGGCAGTTTCAGAGGTTTATGATGTATAGGTCACATTTTAGCTGTGAGTAATGAAGGAGAAGCAATGATCATTAATAATGTTAGTTTATATAATACTGGAACATTTTATTTCTTTTAACTGTATTCATTTTAAGATAGTGAACTAGAATATGACTGTTTTTGTCATACTGTAGTTGATGTAGAAGGAAATCCAGAAGTGTATGATAGGCAAATATAAATCGTTTATATAGAAATTCTATATAAATCGTTTATATAGAAATTCATCAGTTTTTCCCAGGAAATAACTGTATTTTGATATGTTTGATAGATTTTCTTCACTAATTTTTGAAGCCCATGAACCATACTTAATACTTTAGATTTTGAAAGGATTTGAGGAAAAAAATGTTATTTTATTACTATTGCCTGAAATTCCTTGGAATTGTTTTTGATACTTAACTATTTTTAGATAATTAAGTCTTTTTGGAAAGTTTAAAAATTTATTCCTATTTTTGTCTTTTTCTTTTTTTAATATTCCAGGGCAGGATTCTTTTGATATTTGGGTTACTTTGCTTCTTTCTAATAACTATGTCCATTTAGAAAACTTGGACAATACAGAAAAACAAAAAGAATCATCATGTACTGCTCACATATAAACACTGATGACACTTTAATGCATTTCCTTTTGCTTTTTTCAGTGTATGTGCTTGAGTATATGGCATGTATTTGTGTGATGTTTAGGAATTGAGATATTTATGAATGCATTTATTACATGATTGATAATAGCTTTATGTCCCAGTTCATATATTTTTACTAGTAATGTGTTGGTCACTTGAATTCTTGATTTTTATTGACTAGGTAAAATTCTAAGGTGATGTTGTCAGTTATTTTTCCATTCTCTCACTGAGTATTTAAGCTTTGGTGCTGCAGGGAATGTTGCTGGAGGATCATAGCTTAAAAGACTTGGGTATAAATTTTAGCGTTAGCACTTAGCACCCTTTTGACCATATGTAAATTATAAATTCCAGCAAGTCTCAAGTTTCTAAAATGGAATGATTGTATACCTTCTTGAAAAATAAATAAATGTTTAAACATTGCCTATAACAGTGCCAATAATAAATTTTGAATAAAGTTTAGCCTTTATCATTGACTTCTGAGAAATGCATCTTCCCTTATCCTTTTCATTACTGCTTTTCAAGCATTTGTTTTTATTGAGTGAGGTATCTGATTGATTTGGTAACAGTGACTGGATGCACAGTAGATTTGATAAAACTTTTTTTTTTTTTAAAGATTTATTTATTTATACAGAGGTGCAGGGACGGCGAGAGGCTTCACCAGAGACAGAGTGAGGAGCAGAACAGGCGGATCCACGAAGTACACTGCTGAGGGGAGCAGCGGGCGGGTCAGGAGAGGTCTGCCACGCCATGTGGTCTCCTCCGGGGCGGGTGGGAATCGAACTCATGAGGAAGTGGCTTTAGCTTTTCAGTGCTGTGCTTTAACCCACTGCGCCACCAGGGAGGGCCCTGATAAAACTTTTTTAATGAGTATTTTTTCCTATGAAAACAGAGTCCTGTGCAGCAGCTTAAAGATGATGAAAGGGAAAGTAATTTAACCTATTGATTGTGTGTACCTGGAAATGTGGCACTAAAGTTGACTTTGAAGTATTAATAAATAAGTTTATTGTGTTTGAGGTTAGCTGGGTTTCAAATCACACTTTAAATAACATGTACTGTTTTCTGTAAATAGGTGAAAATTGGAAAGAAGCAAGAAAACTTAATGTATCTACACAGCATATTTTGGTACCTATGCACTTTAATGTGGAACTCTCTAAGGCTTTGGTTTTCACGGATATAAGGATGCCCAAGTATGTACTATTTGTTTCATTTAATTATTGATTTTCTCTTATTCTGTGACTAAAGGAATATTTTCTTCTGGCAATTGGTTCATGGAATAAATATTTCATTCTTATTTTCTGTCATAGAAAACATGTAACAAAATTTACCACTTTTAAGATGAACTCAGTGGCATTAAATACATTCACATTGTTGGATGACCATCTCCACTGTCCATTTCTAGAACTTTGTCATCTTCCTAAACTGAATGGTCTATTTACCCCTTCTCACACATCGTATGGCAATCAACATTTTACCTTATGTTTCTATGAATTTGAATACTCTGACCTTTATATAAGTGGAATACCACTTTTTCACAGAGCACATCTTCCCACCAGCTGTGCACAAGAGTTCCAATTTCTCCAGCTGCTCACCAACGCTTGTTATTTTCTTTTTAAAAAAGTAGCCATCCTAATAGGTGTGAGATAGTATTTGAATTTCTTTTCCCTATTGATAGTGATGTCAAACATCTTTTCATTTACTTGGTCATTTATATATTTAGTGAAAGAAATTAATATCTAACCAAGTTTTCTGCCTATCTTTAAGCTGTATATTTTGTTGTTGCTGCTGTTGAGTTGTGGGAGGTTTTTTTGTGTTTTTTTGTTTGTTTGTTTTTAAAATAGGTTCTGGATGTGAACTGCTTATTATAAACAACTACCTTTTTAATTAATGTACTTAAATCAGAATAAACGTTACCTGAAAATAATTCCTACATTTTGAAACAGATTCAGAATTTCTGGAACATTACCATTGGTTTCTTTACGAATCTCAGATAACAAACTACATGGTATTTTGGATCTGGTTGAAAGTATTCCAAAACCCAAACCTGCAACTGAAGCATATGCCCCTGTCAAACCATTTCAGGTAATTTTGTTATCAAAATTAATAAAAGCATGGATTAAAGAGATTTTCCAAATAGTATTTGTAGCAACTTCAGAAATTTCACTTTCAATTTAAACCATTTTGATTAAATCCATTTAATCCAACATAATTTAAAAATTACGTTGTAATGGAGAAATTGATGAAATAGCAATGGGGGCACATGTGGAAAAAGCTGTAAAATGATACCTAGTCTTTCTACTTCTCTAGCTTCCTGTTCCTTTCTCTTCAATTAAACACTATTTCTTCAGTTTTCTGAAAATATTTCCAGCTTGCATTAGTTGCCTAAATATATAAGCGTGCTTCTGTGCACTGTCACTTCTTAAAATCACACAAATGGGATCAATATACTTACTGTTCTAAATCTTTCATAATTTTTACTTTTACGTATGTTAGAGATACTTTCATGTTTGCACACACTGATTTACCTTACTCTCTCTTATGGTGAATTTTGTGCTGGTACTTCAGTGCCTAATATAATGCCCTCTTGGACATTCAGGTTGTTCTGAGTGTTCATAACTATAAAAAATGCTGTTTGAACTTCCTTGTATATCTATAGGGGCATCCTTTTAGCAATTAGGTAAGTATCTAAGAATATCAACAGAATTGCTGAGTTAAAAAATATTTGAATTTTAGGAGCTTTCTCAACTTTTCCCCCTAAATTTAGTATTTATAGTTCTACCAACAATAAATTAGTGTCTGTTTCTCATTAGAATATTAATTAAGTACTGAAATTCATTTTATTAAGTGAGAAAATATTATCTTCCAGTATTGTATTGATTTGCATTTTTTTATGACTAAGATAGGGTCCATTTGCATACATATTTCTGTGTAAGTTTCTGTTTTTAGAAACTGCTATTTGTCTTTTTTTAGTTATAGTTTTTCAATTAGGGAAGTTTTTCTGTCATTTGCAAATAGTTTTTCCCCATTTCATTTAAAAATTATTTGCTCTTTATCTGATAGATTTGTTTTTGCTTTCTATATAGTACTTGATATTTATGTAGTCAGAATTACTAGATTTTTCCTTCATGATTCTAGGTTTTATGTATGTTTATATATTTTACTTTAATTTTTTACATCATTCTTCATTTTGTACTATTTTTCATATAAATTGTAATCTTCTTGGACTTCCCACCACCAATTCACCCATGTGCCATGCTCTCTTCCCTTCCCAGTTTTGGATCCTGTTCCCCTCTATTTAACTTCTTAAGGGTCTTTCAAAAGAAAATAAAAATTCACATTTCCCTCATTAAAAGAAAAAACGCACACACACACACAGAGAACACAGAGCAGGTCCTCCCTGGTGGCATAACCCGTTAAAGTGCAGCACTACAGAGCTAGCCACAGTGACTGCAGCACAAGTTCGATCCCCCACCAGGCAGGGAGGTGACCAACATGGTACAGTAGACCTCTCCTGTCCCACTCACTTCTCCCCTGAGCAGTGTATATCAGTTCAGTTGTTTGTTCTGTTCCTTACTCTGTCTCTGGTGAATCGTCTCACCTCCATCTCCCTCAGTAACCCTGGCCTGAACTTCACCTCTTATGTATAAGTTAACCAAAAAAAAAGTAAATAAAACCACAGGCACTCCTCTTCTAGCGGCTTAAATATACTTCTAAAACGCAAATAATGTATGCTAGTATTAACATCAGTAATAAAAAATGTAAATGAAATAAAACATAATGGCTGATAAGTATTGATAACCATAATGAAGTTACTGTTATTAAGAACAGTTGACTTTTTGATATTTTCTCATTGATACCATGCATGTGGTTTTCCTGTCTATTGCAGACACTGAGTTAAAACATGTCTAAGATCTCCTACTCAGCTGTCAATAAGGAAATTATTTAACAGTTTTGTAATTTTTAAACTAATCTTGAAATGGTAAAACTGTTTCTTTAAATACATTTTATAATACACTTTTCTAATTTCGGGATGGATTTTTTTTTTTCCAGTTAATTCAAATTGAGAATTTTTTCATCCACATTATCTTTGAACCTTAAATAAGAACTTTTATGTTAATTAAAAAGGAGTTATCTTTCTTCCAGAATCAAATACCTGCTTCTTTGGGAGCATCACAGTTTCCACAGAAAAGAATTCCTCTCTTGGAGGTTCCATGCGTTGAAGACGGTAACACGAAATTTTTAGGAAAATATCCCTTACTATAAATATATAATGGATATAACTTTTATCTTGATAAAATTTATTATTTATATAAAATACTGCAGACAGTGACAGATATTTATATACTTTCCAAAAATTTTGACTAGTATTCCTTTAATGAAATATAATTTCACTGTCTTTAGAGTTGCTTTTCAGTGGAATTTTTTGTGTATAAAATTTGGTTCATATTCACAAGGACCACTAAATAGTCATCTCTGTCTCAGTATGAGTTAAGACACTGCCATGAACTTTGTAAATGACGTATTTATATGTTCTCTAGTTATTTGAAGAATTTTTTATAGTAAATGTAAAAAAATTTCCTTTTTTATTAAAGGATACAAATGCATTAATATCTACTTTAACATGTGAAACTTGTAAATGTTTTGCTATCAAGTGGTTTTTTTCCTCTATTTTCAAATTTATTCCATTTTAACTTTTTGAAATTGCTAAGTATTGGCAGAAATTATCATGTGGATCCTCCTTTTTCTGGAGAATGCATTGTTCTTATGTGGTGGTGACCAGGAAGGAATGGCAAAGGGAAGAGATGTTGTTTGTGAGATCATCTACCCAAAAGTCAATTTGGTGTAGTAGAGATGTATTTCAGATGCTTTTACTTCTTTCAGTGATTTTACTAAGAAGTTGAATGTGTTTTTGGTCTTCTGATCCTTTTTGTTTAATATTCTAGCAAATCTCGTAATTTGCTATCATGTATGTATACATTATACATATATGTGTGTATATAAAGAAGTATTTGATACCAATTTCTTCATTCAATTTTCAGGACTTACCCTCTGTTTTTAATAATGCGGTTTATAACTAAGTCTTTTTTGCTATTCAATTAGAGTGAGCAAAGTGCTGTTTGAGTATTCAAGATGCACATATCACTGCATTTACTATATAAAATACTCTTCAATAATTTCTAGATTGTGATTTTAAAAGGTGATAGTTAAACTGAAGATTGTCTTTTGTAATTTTCCATACATTTTTGTCATCAACAGTGTTATTTGTTCATATGTCTCTATATTCCGTTTGTTTTCTCATCTGTACATGCAACTTTTGAAATAGAAACTTAGTGTTCACATTTATCACTAGGCAGTTCCTTTGATTATTGAATAATATGTCTGATACTTAGATTCAGAGGAAGAATTTTTTGATGCACTATGTAGTCCTTTGGAAGAGCCTGTTCAGTTACCAACTAGAAGTAAAAGCAATCAACAGAAAAAGTCTCCAAAGGAGGAATGCCCAAAAAATATGACTCAGTGTAAAATAAGATTTGAAGTGCCAGAGGTACGTACCACTGAAAAATTAGTAGGACTTAACTTAAGTCATTAAGTCATTAAATTGTCTGTTCTGGTGTTTACAAGTTACATATATAGTTTCATCACTAATAGGCACTAATAGGCATTGTTGTTTTCACCCTATTTAAGCCAAATCCAAGTGATACTGACTTCCTTGTTTTCTTTAAAGAGTAATTTTCTTGATCAAGAATTGGGAGTTTGAATGATATATTGTGATAAATATTTATTGAAAAATATTTATACAATGTTAGTGCAAATTGTGTGTGTATAAAATTGCCTGAATTTTAAATATTTATATCACATGTTCACCTCATATGTCATATTACTACCACCCATATAAACAGTTTTTTTTTTTTTAATTTTAGATAGTAGTGGTTTCTTTTTTTTTTTTTTCTCCAGGTTTTGATTCAGTTTTATCACTGTGTTGGAGATTGTGAACTACCTGTGGTAGAAATTGATGTTTTAGGATTGGGTACAGAAATTGAGTTTAGAACGCTTGATTTGAAAGCAAATGCCTTTGTGAAAGAATTCTGCTTAAAATGCCCAGAATATTGGGGTAAGAAAATGTTCATTTAAAGTAAATGAATTGTTTGTTTGACATTTTACTATGGAGTATTAAATTTTCAAGGTTTTTATATCTGTACATTTGTTAATCCATGCCAGACAAATACTGTGTTATGAGATAGTTTTTTAATCTTGTATTTGGGAACCAAAGGGGATTGACCACAAAGAAAATGAAAGTAATCTTTATATTAAAGAAAATAAGTCATGACTTAATTTTAAATCTACTTAAGTATTCAAGCATTGGGCTTATTTCCTAATGATAGTGTAATAGTTTACCACAACTAATTCTTCAAAAAAACACAATTTATTAAAGTTCAGCAGTTCAGTAGTCTCACAAATTTCAGCGAAAAGGAAAAATGAGTTCATAGGAGTTTCTGCTTGGAAATGCTGAGGGGAAACACATTTCTTTGCCCATTTCGGTGATGGCAGAATGTAGTTTCATGGATTTGTTTGTGTCCTTGCAGCCTCATAAGTGAAGGCTGGCCTTAGCTCCTAGAGGGCTTTTTGGCCTTTGCATTTAGTCCTCTGTATTGGGGAATCAGTGTTGGGCATTTGGCCTTTCTTTGCCTCTCTCTTACCAATTCTTCTGTTTTTTGCTTCCACTCTTAAAAAGTTCAAGTGATCAGATTAGTTTTTGTTGTAGAGCAGAATTTTTAATTCAGTGAAATCCAGTTGATCAGGTCTGTCTTTCTTTTATGAATTATGCTAATGGTGTCATTGCAAAATACAAGGGCATTTAGATACTCTCTTTTGTCTTCTTGAAGTTTTATAGTTTTCCATTTTGTATGTAGATCTTTGGTCCATTTTGAATTAATTTTTCTGAGAGGCATAAAGTCTGTTTAGATTCATTTTTTGCATATTATTGTTCCTATGTTTATAGACATTAGTGTTGAAAGTATTGTCTTTGTTCCATTGTACTATTTTTACTCCTTTGTGAACAGTTCACTCTGCTTCTAGGAGTCATATATCCTGGATTCTGTATTCTGTTCTTTTATTCTATTTGTCTATACTTTCTTCAATATTGTATTGTTCAGCTAATATCTACATATTTTAGCTTTTTAATTGACAGATTTATTGAATAAAATTATGAAACTATTGACAGCAGACAACTTAAGAAAAATTAAGAGACTGGCAGATAGAATTCTAAGTCCTCTCTTTAAAAAAAATTACATGCTGGGCCCTCCCTAGTGGTGCAGCGGGTTAAAGCACAGCACTGAGAATCTAATCTAAAGCCGCTTCCACAAGAGTTCGATTCCCGCCTGCCCCGGAGGTGACCACATGGCGTGGCAGACCTCTCCTGACCCGCCCGCTGCTCCCCTCAGCAGTGTACTTCCTCGATCTGCCTGTTCTGCTCCCCACTCTGTCTCTGGTGAAGCCTCTCGCCGCCCCTGAACCTCTGGCCTGTACCCTAGTTCTGTATGAACAAATAAATAAATCTTTAAAAAAAATAAATTCATGCTCTTTTTATTATATTTGATTGGGGTAACATTGGTTGCAACCATGCACTTTTTCAGAGATATAGGCTTATACTTCTTCAGTTGTATACTACTGCAACACACCCACCACCTAAGCACTGAGTGCCCTTCACCATAGTCCATTGGACCCCTCCACACTTTGCCCTCTACCCTACTTTTCTGGTTACTTCAGTTGTCAGATATATTTTGGTGTGCTTTTGTCTGTTCCTTTGTTTCTCTATATTGAACATATGAGTAAAATGATTCTGTTGTCTTTCTCCTTCTGATATATTTCACTTCTTAACTTCACAGTCTTCACAAGATTCTGACCAGAAAGCTACTGAACCAAAAATCAACTATAAAAAGAAAACAATAAGTGTTCTAATATGTGGAGACAGAATAGAACACTACAAAACAAACACTGGGCTATGAGGAAATAAAAGAAGAAATAAAATACCTTGAGAAGATGATAATGTAGATACAACCTATAGGATGCATGGGACATAGCTAAAGTAATTCTAAGAGGGACATAGAATACAGGCCAGGCCCTCCCTGGTGGTGCAATAGGTTAAGGCTCAGCACTGCAAGCTAGCAGCAGCTGCTTTAGTGTGAGTTTGATTCCCAGCCCCAGAGGTGATCTGCATGGTGCGGCAGACGTCTCCTGTCTTGCCTGCTGCTCCCCTCAGCAGTGTGCTTTGTCAATCTGCCTGTTCTGCTCACCCACACTGGTCTCAGGTAAATCCTCTCACTGGTTTTGCATCTCTGGCCTCTAGCCCAGTTCTATATGCATGAATAAGTAAATCTTTAAAGCAAAACAAAAAGAATACAGGCCCACATTAAGAAACTAAAAAGCCCAAATAAACAACCTTGTCTGTAATCTCAGGAAATAGAAAAAGAAATCAAGAAAATTTCAAAAGTCAACAGAAAGAAATAATAAAAAGTGAGCACTGGGCCCTCCCTGGTGGCACAGTGGGTTAAAGTTACAGCACTAAGACGCTAAGGCCACTCAGCATGGGTTCAATCTCCACCCGGAGGTGACCACATGGTGTGGCAGACCTCTTCTCACCCGCCCCACCTGCTGCTCCCCTCAGCAGTGTACTTTGTTGATCTGCCTGTTGTGCTCCCCACTCTGTCTCTGGTGAAGCCTCTCACTGCCCCTGCACCTCTGGGCTGTACCCTAGATCTGTATGCATAAACAGATAAATCTTAAAAAAAAAAAAAAAAAAGAGCACAAGTCAGTGAAATAGAAGCCATAAAGATTCCCAAAGGACAGTGAAACCAAAAGCTGGTTCTTCTATGAGAACAGACTTTAACTAGGCTCAATAAGAAAAAAAGAGGGATTTAAATAGTACGTTTGGGAGGTTTTCCTTCCTTCTCTGAAAAGCTTTTTCCCCTTCTTAAACTCCTCCCCTTTTAGAATGCCTATTTATCCTTATGTTGCCTTTCATAATGGAGTCAGAACTCTCCCAATTGTTTTTTTTTTTTTTCTGCATTTGGTCTGTTCTTCCATAGCTTTCTCCAGAAACTTTTTTCCTCTGTAGATATTTTTATATCCTGCATCTCTGTTATTTTCTAATTTAAAGCTTTAATTTCAGGTCTTTCATTCATTGCTTTTATTTTTCAGGAAATCCATTGGGTTTTTTTGAATTTTTTGCATATCTTTCATCAGTTTTTCTGTGTTTTCTTTGTATTCTCCCATTTCTGTGAATTTCATTATCATGGAAATTTTGTATTCTGTGCCTTGTAGGGAGAATAGACCTTCCAAGTCTTTGTGATTGGGTTCTAGATATTTGTTATCTCTGGTTTAGTAATCTCCCATGGGCTCAGGCTACCATTTGTTGTGTCCCACTTCTCTCCATTATTTGTTTTCTTGGCTGGTGTACTAATAAAACCCCCGTTGAGTGTAGTTTTTAGTTCTTCAAAGTCCAACCTGTTGAAGTCTTTTGTGGTCTCTTCTATCCAAAGGAAAATCAATCCTGGTGCTATCTCTGGGACAGTCTATCAGATCTCCATCTGTCTGGTTCACTGCTTCAAGAGCCACAGCCAGTGTTACCCATGCCCTGTAGTTGACTTGATGGTTGACACTTAGTCTCCCACAGCTGTGAGTAGAGCTTGTGAGATCTTGGTTCCAGCTTATGAAGCTGATGGTTTGAGCTGGCAGTTGGTGACAGGGCTCTCCAAGCTGGAAACTGGAGACCAGGAGCTTCTCAGCTCATGTTCAAGCTGGCAGTTGGAGACTCTGCTCCCGCAGATGGGAACTGGAGGTTACTCAGTTCTTAGCACCAGTGGCTGGAAGTCAGGTTTGCCAAACTCTTGTACAAATAGTTCAGGTGCATGCAAGGCTCATGCACTAGCCAGTGGCTGCTGCAGCTGGATGGCACTTCTCCAGGGGCCAGTGGTGGGACTGGGTGCCTACTTGATTCTTCAGGGATGTGGCATTAAGAGAATAGAGAGGAGAAATGACATTTTTAGAGTTTAAGTAATAGAGATGGGAATGTATTGAAGTAATCGACTCTAATGTTCAGGATACAGGAAATCCTTCTTTTCCAATTTTATAGTTGTTTTATAATTAATTATAATTAATATAATTAACACTGCCTACATTTATTTGCTATTTTCTTCTGAAACAATTTTTAAAATCATTTCAGACGAAAAGGGGAAACCAGTTTATTTGATTACAACACTGGATAACACAATGGAAGACCTTTTAACACTGGAATATGTGAAGGTAGACAATTTCATTTATATAGCTGTGATTAAGAAATACTTCATATGGCAAAATAAGAACAATTCCACATTCTGAGTAGAAATGACCTGTAGTGTGATTATCTTTTTCCATCAGGATATCAAAAAGAAACAAACTTTTTAATCTTTATGGAATTTATTGTGGTATGTGTTCGAAATGAAGCTTTCACTTGGTTTCCCACTGTTATTTTAAGTTAGTTAATTTTCCTGGTATAAGTGACTCCATTTCTTTCCTGTTGATTGAGATATCCATTTGTCATTTATTTTTGTATGTACTATGCTGTACCTAAGTTTATTCCATATCTTTATTGACCTATTTTTATGTAAGTGCCACATAATTGTAATAACTATAATAATAATACCAACAGTATTTTGTCACTTTTAAGACCCCTTTACTATTACTAATGTGTTGTTTTAGGTTTTTGTTTATGCATTCAATTGATTTTGTATTTACAGTGTTCTAGATCTCAAGATAACACTTAGTTTTGGACACTTGGTAGGTAATTCTGTAGTGAATTTGAAGACAAATTTTGTTTTTGCATACAGGAAAAATCAAGAATAATCTTAGGGTCCTACATTTACTGTATTTTTTTTCTGGTCAAGTAGTTCTTTGCTTATGTAATTACATACACATATATATGTTAATACAGATATCTGGAAAGTTATATAAATGTAATTAGAACTATTATATGATTGTATAAAAATGTCATCCTGATTGTTTTCTCTTTTTGGGTAGGCTGAAAAAAATGTACCTGATTTTAAAAGTACCTATAACAATGTTTTGCAACTGATTAAGGTATGGATGAACAGTAATTTATTTTTTTATGTGGATACTGTATTTCTAAATAGGTATACTGTGAAAATTATAACTAGAATTTTAAGATATGTCAGGATAAACATGTAATATTGTAAGTTGTATGCTTTATGAAATCACAATATGTACTGTTTTCTACAGATTAATCAAATATATTGACCTGTTACTAAAATAAACTTTTCCTTAGGTGAATTTTTCCTCTTTGGATATTCACTTACACACTGAAGCACTTCTGAATACAATGAATTATTTTAATAATCTCCTTCCACAATTGGAGGAAACACCAGCCTCAATTTATGTTGTGGAAACTGAAGACAAAGGAGATAATAAAAAAATATGTATGTTTATTTAAAATTAAACGAATTTTTTTTGCCAAGTAGATTAATAAATTGTGACTTGTATTATTTATTACTGACTTCAGAATTCTATTACCTTAATATCTAGAGAGATCATATGCTGTATTAATTTGAGAAAATGATAGTGCAGTAATTACTTCTGCTAAAAATATGGCCTTTATTTGTCATTCTTTTTAGTTGAAGTTTATACAGTATAAATATTTGATTTATATTGAAGTTCATGCATTTAATAACATTTTAGAATAAACCCAAAATTTGGATAATGTCATATATAGTATTAGAAGACTTTAATTTAAGAACAGGAAAGTTGAAACCTTGATAATGACAATGTCACTTCATAATCATTGAGACTTAAAATATTTATGACTTTACAACTTACAACTTCTTGTTTTCATGTTCGTCTTACAGAAGTTTTTTGGTTGTGATTTGGTTTGCTTTTATTAGATTAGATTATTTTTTAGAATTCCTACTCTAATTCATTAGGCAATATCTTGCTTGTTTTCAATTGAATTATAAGTCAGGTTTTCCTCTAGTTATATCATTTTTTGTTGTGGTATCCCTATTCCTTTATAAGCTTAGTGAGGTAATTGCTAAAGTTTTCCTTTTTCTTTTTAACAATATGATTGATTTTTGCAGCTTTAAAACTACCCAAGAATGAAGATACTATTACCTTGCAGATTTTAGCAGAGTTATCATGTTTACAGATCTTTATTAAAGATCAGAAACGTAACATTTCTGAAATTAAGATTGAAGGTAATAAAATTTCAGAAAAATAAATTCAGAATTATCAAATGAAAGAAAAGACACTTAATCATTGTTTATTTTTTAGGGCTTGATTCTGAGGTGATTATGAAACCTTTAGTAACTGAAATAAATGCAAAGCTAAGAAATATAATTATTTTGGATTCTGATATAGCAGCCATATATAAAAAGGTATGAATTTGTTTATTAATATTACATGTTTGATGTTCTTTATATATGTAGGTATAAATTAGACAGTTGATTTCAGCAATATGGCTTATAAGTTTCATGGGTTTTGAGTTAGGGGTAATTGTGTTTTTTATGTTACTCTTTAGCAGTTGTAGACATTGATTCCAATGTACATGATTTTTTTGTAGTAACGCTCCACATGTTAAGGGGCCAGGAGCGACATGTGCTTTTTGCTCTAAATCTAGATATAACTGTTGTGTTGTGACATGCTGTTGTGCCCATTTTGGTTTTAGGTACAGTAATTATTAAGGTCTTTAGCTTTCTAAGCACTTGGATAAAAGTTACATGGAGTCCTCAGATCCTCTGGTTTAGAGTACCATTCTTTAGTTTACCTCAGTATGACGGTATTAAATGTATTGTAATTTATGTGTGCCATGAATTGAAAAGAATTCTGGCTCATCTGACATTTCTTATGAAATAAAATGCAGTGTAAAGAGGATTCTTAAATCTTCTGTATAGAAAGAGTGTATTGAAAGTGTTCAAATGTAAAATTACTAATGCATGTTAATCGAGAGTGGTAGGTACGTATTTCTATTCTCTACATTACAGCTTTAGTATCATACTAATATGGCCTCATAAAATGAATTTGAAAATATTTTATTCTCTATTTTCTGAAAGATGTATGCAGAATTGGTATTATGTCTTGACTGTTTGATGGAATTCCCAGTGAAGTGTTCTGGCATTTAGGTTTTCTTTGCAGGAAAGGAATCTGGGAAAAAAATCTTCCATTTCGGCTTCACTTCCTGAGTATTGTTTTTGATGAAATCAGTAGGTTTCTTCCTCTCCTCCCCACTTTCAAGTTGTTAAAGATGTAACTCACTGTTCTTTGTAATACTTGATTTTGTTGAAAGGTCTGCTACCTATATATATTGGTATTCTTTTTTTGCACATGATTTCTCATTATTATTTGACTGCTTTGAAGATTTGTATATGATATGTCTACATATATGTAAATTTTTTTAAAATATAAAAATACTTATTTTACACCGTTCTTCATTTTGTGCGTTTTTGGATCTCGGTTGTAATCCCTTGGACTTCCCACCGCCAGTTCACCCATGTGTCATCATGTAAATGTGTTTTTTTTGTTTTTTTTTTGCTATTTTCTGAGCTTGGGTCTATATGCCAAGCTCCCTTCCCTTCCCTTTCCTACCCTAGTTTCTTGTTTTACTTCCTCTTGCATTCCAAATACCCCTGCTACAATCCTGTTATATAATGTCCCACAATTTAGATCCTTTGCTTAATTTTCCCCCAGTCTTCTCTTGATATATTTCAGTTTGAATGATTCATTTTGATCTTTTGTAAGGTCATTGATTCTTGTCTTTGATTCTATTTATCTGTTGAACCCATTGAAGATATTCTTTAAGTCTGTTAACAGGCTTTTTAAAAAGCCTTTACTTTCCTCCTTTGACTTTTTCTGTTCCTGTGTTGATAATAATTATTTGTTCATACTTATTTTCTACTAGAAGCATTTACCATAATAAACATACCAATTAAAAATTCACTGAAAGTTCTAGCATCTGTTTTAGAGAAAAGTCTAGTTTTGTTGCTTTGTCATTTGTTAAATATTGTTTTATTGCTTTTTGGGGTATCAATTATTACATAAAGACATGGGATAATAAGACTGATGTGCATAGTATTTATGTCTGAATATATATATAAATGTATATATATATGTTTCTCTGTTTTCTTTTTGCTAGAGTGATTTTAATAGGACGTTGAGTTGGCTTTGAGTTTCCTTGTTCAGTATGGTCTCCTTCACTATACTACTGCTTTTAACTCTCTTGGCTTTATCTTATTCCACTATAGGCTGGGGCGTGAATTCCATTGATAGAATGCTGCTCCACTCTCTGCTTTTGACTTTTCTTCTCCCATTCTCTGAAAGTTCTCTTCCCACACTCTTCTTGATGTTAGATTCCACTGCTGCTTGTTTATTAGTGCATGTAAGCTTGATGGTGAGTACTTGAGGGTACACAGTAGAGGTGAGGAGGTATTTGGGTAGGCTTTTATTTTGTCTTAGTTCAGTTTCAGACGTCTTTCTCACAAACAGGACATTTATGGAGACCTTTCCCTTTTACTCATAACATTTGATACTTGGACTGAGAAAAGGTGACCTTTCATGTTCAAGGGGATGTCTTCCCATAGTGTATAGACGTTTTATTTTGTCTTTATCTCTGGAGTAATATATCTTCTCCTGTACCCATGGTTACTAGCTTTCTTCCAGTTTCTTCTCTCTCTCTGTGTGTTATTTACCTTTATTGTGGTAGCATTGTTTTACAACAGTATAATTCAGAGGTTTAGGTTCATGCAAGCATATGTTAACATAGCAAACCCACCGCTGGAGAACCCATAGGGCTTCTTCCTTATTCCAAGTTAAAAAAATAAGCCTTTGGAAATGTGAAGAGAATGATCTTGGTACTACTTTGCACTGAAAGTGTTTCCCCACTTTTGGAATTCTATCAAAAAAAGTTTTTCCACTGTATGCTTAGTGTTTCTTGTGCATTCCCAATAGCAAGTTCCCATGAAATACTTTAAACTGAATGTAAAATATTCCTGTGCCTGTGGTTTTCAGGAATTTGGATATCTATTGTAGTTGATTTTCACTATTTTAGTTGAATTCTTCTTACCTAGCTTGTATGGTACCTCACATCTCTATCTCCCCCACCTTACCACAGGTACACAGTGTTTATGCTGTGTCTCTCTTGAAGGTACTTTTCTCCTTTTTAAGGTTATTTGGTTGACTGGTGTCCTCAGATTTTTCAGTTTAAGAAGTGTTATGGTTTTATAATTTGCAGTTTTTTTTTGTTTGTTTGTTTTTTTGTTGGGTGTCCCTCTCTCCAGCATTCTACATCCTAAGGGAGGATGTATGTAAATAGACTTATTTTCAATTTCATCTTCTACCTCAGTCTTCAGTCCTTCATGTGTTTGACTCCTTGGGTTTTCTTCTTTGGTTGGAATTTTTTTGCTTGTTAATGGCTCTTCAACCCTTTGTCTTGCCTTTTAGTATTTATGAGACAAAGAAAGCTATAAGTTAATTTGTTACTTCTCTTTCCATCTTCAGAAATATTTTTTGACTTTTCACATCTGGTGCTGTTTCCACCATCTTGTTTGTATTGTATTGTAAAGTTTGAGACTTTTAGTTGCACTAGATAATTCTTGGTTGACAACTGAGAAACACTTCACTAACTAATAAGGAACACTGACATATTGATAATAGGGGAGACTCATTTGAAGTATCTGGTAAATCTGTTCATGTACCTCAATCAAGAGAAGTTGATGTTGTTAAGTAGTAGATGTATAGCATTTTTCAAACTTTGGCAGTAACCAAGAAATATATATGGCAGCTCTCAAAACAAAAGTATACATTCTACACGAAAAAGTTTTTTCTGACCTCTCCATTAAGAAAAATTTGGATCAGATCTGCTAAATTATTGGTGAGAACTACAAAGGGAGTTGCCACAACCAATTTGATAACTTTCATTTAGATGCTAACAAAGGAGTTGGAAATGTTACCTTATTTGTACATGGTGTGAATAATCAAATATTCTAATTTTGCTCTTAACTTTTTTTATACTTAAGACATCAATTAAAATATGGATTTTGAGCATTGAATTTTCTCTTATTAGGCTCTTTATATCACTGGAAAAGAAGTTTTCAGCTTCAAAATTATCTCTTATGTGGATGCAACTGCTGGTTCTGCATACACAGATATGAATATTGTTGACATGCAAGTTAATTTAACTGTTGGTTGCATTGAGGTAGTTTTTGTCACAAAGTTTCTATATTCTATACTGGTAAGTGTGTTATTTAGTTTTATAATTTATTCCGTACTCTTTAAAAATTGCTGGGATCAAACATAAATGAATAACAATTTATTTTTTATTCTTCTTGATTTTTCATAGTTTTCTAAGTAGCTTTTGTCATGACTGAAATGTATAGTATTTTAATTGCATATCATCATTTTCCCATGGGAATATTAGTTAATTGAATATACATTTTATATATTGATGTTAAATATGTTGATTGAATTCTTTATATGTGATTATTTTAAATTTGTTTTACATGGATCTAACCTAAAATTCTAAATATATAGTTGAAGTTTGTTTTTTTCCTCAAGTCACCATTAAGAAAAGTTTATTTTCTGTAGCATTGAAGTCTGCTATAAAGTCTGTGAGTGGCTGAGATGTTCGAGGTTTTAGGGTTAATTCCTTATGTGGCACCATAAAAGTTTTATTCATGCTTTCTGTAGTTTATTTTACAGCAGTTTTCAATGGTGTAAACTGATAAATTTTCATGTGAGTGTCATACTTATCTCCATGACTTCACTATTCATTGTTTTAAAATGCAGCCTGTTTTGGTTGCAAATCATGGTTGATTCTGGGCGCTTTTGTGATTTTTGAGACCACCATGTAATTTTTCTTTATTACATAATTTTGTACCAAAGATAAAGATAAACAAGTATTCCTCATCAATTTTTTCCTAATTTCTTTAAAAAAAAAAAAGCATTACATCACTGAGACCCTCCCTCAAATTTTACTGAAAATGTGTTTTTTATTAAAATGTAAATTAATTGTTAATATAATATTATGTATATTTTATATACCCGATGTAGCTTCTCGAGAATTCTGATGTTATTAAACTTGAGTTGTATAGGAAACATTTTTTAACTTACAAACAAAATCTCTGAATATGGAAATTATTTAGGGAATAAAGTATGATTAATCATTAGAGAAAGTGAGTTTGAGAAAAATAGGTATCAGTGAAACTGCAATATCCACATTTTGTGTTGTTGCAGGAATAAGATTTTTTTTTAAAGATTTATTTATTTATTAGTACAGAACTGGGGTACAGGTCAGAGATGCGGAGGGTGAGAGGATTCACCAGAGACAGAGTGAGGTGCAGAACAGGCAGATCCACAAAGTACACTGCTGAGGGGAGCAGCGGGCGGGTC